GAGCCAATGTGGATTGCGACACCACCTACCAGCGGTAGTAGTTGGGTGAGACGACGAAGATGGTTTCGTGTAATGAAACGTAGATCTGACTCTATGGAGGCTGGTGTAAATTTTTCACTACTCCAACCAATTAAAAGTTATGATGATCCTACTGATTATTTGAAAAGAGCAGCAGATATTATTAATAAAGAAATTGGCAAAGGCAAGGCTGTTAATTTACAGGACGAATTAACTCGGTATCAAGACGCAATTAAGATTTTGATGAATGGCATAAACTGTAATTATAATCGTTCTTTTCTTTAATGTTTCATTTTATACTGTTATTCACTTCTATTAATTTTGTTTATAGCTGACACGAATATGCAGCGAAGACAAGAAGCCTCTTCATTAGCACAAACATTTCTCAAACACGCAGAATTTCTTGAAAATAAACTTGGAGATGCTCGATCTTCAGATGAATCAACGAGTCCGACATCAAAAGATTTATCAAACATAAGTAGATCAAATAGTGGCATTGCAAATCAACTGAATAATTTTCGCTCAGATTCAACTACAAGTCTTAGTAGTTTTCAAACTGTTGATGATCCCTCATGGACTACATCAAGTTCAAATTTGGATGCACGCAGTTCATCAATCTTCTCGGGGTCAACGTTATTACAATCGACAGGCGTTGTGACAGGTATCAGTAAATTGAATGCGTCTGCGACTCCAACATCTAATCCTGGTTATACCTGGGAACAAGATGAGGATGTTCAGGATTGTCGTCGATGCCACAAGAAATTTGGCCTGTTGAATAGAAGACATCACTGCAGGTTTGTGACCGCTTTATTATTATAAATGGGACGACTATTTTAACTTAATAAATTTTTATCAAACGTACAATTGAAAAAACCATTTTTTCAGAAAATGCGGCCAAGTCGTATGTGATGGATGTTCTACAGCACGTGTGGAATTATCTCCCGCACAACTTATATTTGATCCATCCGGAAAGGCTGACTTAAATCCAAACCAATCTTCAAAACTCCATCGAGTCTGCGATTCATGTAAAAATTCATTAGGATACTCGGGACAAAGATCTAATAGTTTAACTGCGTCGATTACCTCGGGCGTTTCATTTATGCATAATCATCAGAGGCGACCAAGTACTAGCTCAATGAGCCACTGCCCGGCTTGCTCTGAGCCGCTGAGTAATTTTCCTGGTGGCCAAGACGAGCATATTCGGACGTGTTTTGAAAATAATAGAAATGGAAATAACGTTAACGGTTTCAAATATGTGGGTGAGCAAGCCACTTTTTGTGCTTAACGCAATCAAAATATGAATAAAGGCCCAAAAAGAATCAAACGATCGGGCCCTACTAAAACACCTGAATTATCTATCATCAATTATGGGTCTTCTTCCAAATGTACACCTATACGTATGGCTTACTTCAATCCTCTGCTATTATTACCTAAATTCAACTCGCATCTTTCCATCTTCCAACCCATCGATATGAATGAATCTTCAATACAAATTTACTACTGATGCTTCTGTTTCGGTCTACTGCAAATACATGTACAGTATACAAACTCCCACCAAAGAATCCAATAATCGACCAAGAATGTCCAATCTGTTTCGAAGAATTTCTTTCTGGTATGAACATTTGGGATTTGATTTTTTTCTTATATTTATTTTTTTTTGTTATTCAATATCAAGAAAATAACAAAAGGAGGAAGAGACAGAAATTCTTATTTATATTACTGTTTGATTGATTATATTATATTATTTTATTACTTTGCGCAATGATCCCTCATTTCATCTAAAAATTTCTCTTCTCTTTTTTCTAATTATATTTTCATTGAGCTTTTATTGGTTATTTTTTATTATTGAACTTTTTCTTACTTATTATACATATGATATACACATATGAATATGTATATATATATATGATATAATTATCATAATATCAACAACTTACCAACACTATCACCAATATTAGGGCAAACCGTGACACGTCTAAACTGTATGTGTTCATATCATTATCATTGTATAAAAAAATGGTTCGCCAAGGGTAAAGAGTGTCCAGTACATTATCGGTGATGATATAATATTGTTATTGTTATTTATTTTTTCAATTCGGAATCATTATTATAACTTCATAAATAATAACTTTGGATACTACTTATTATTATCATTGTCGTTATTTATTGGTTCGTACTATTATTATTAATATTAAATCTTTTATTGTTATTATTTTGTATTTATAATTTTTGGGATTGTTTATAATTATAGATTTTTTTTCTTGTTAATTAAATATTTAGTGTCGAATAAATTAAAAAAATTGGTTTTAATTATAACATTTTTTTAATTACATTGTTTGAAAATTTAAATATAAAATAGTTCATAAACTTCTGACGGGAAAAATATTATAATTATTTATTATATTTATTTATATTTTTTGATTTTTCAAAAAGCATTACTTTTAACTCAATATTCAAATTATTTACATGTATTAGTATTTAGCTGATTTGATACCAAGAGTAACAGAATAGCGTTACGTATACTCTCAGAAGCAAATTCAATTTAGAAGTGATTTTTAAACTTGAAATTGAGATTAAGAATATTGAAAAGCCTGAGATTGGATCAGAGAGCCAAGTGTAATCACATATATTTTTTGGATAAATATTTATTGTTAACTTCTGAAAAGAGACAAAAAAGAAATCTTTATTATTCCAAATTGTAATCTAATTATCAGATAAAAACTAATTATTAGCTAAAGATAATATAATAGCAAAATTATTAGCTAAAGAAAAGATATTGCAAATTGATTTTATTATTATAATTATTATTATTATTATTATTTTAATATATCACAATATAAGCTTGTTCTATATATAAGAAATTATTCTAAAATACAAAAATTTTAGTTATTTAAAAAAACAAGTTTTCTATTATATAAAAAGAACTATCAGAACTATCTATCTGATAAAGAAAATTAATATAATTAATTATTATTATTATTATCAGAATTCATTCAAGATTATATTATAATATAACCTGATATATATATGAAGATAATATAGTTTATATGGCCTATTTAAAGTAATAATTTAAATATTAATGAAAGAACTAATCTAAATTCAAGAAATTTTTCTATAATAAAGTCTAAATTCTTAATATTATGATATGAAACTTCATAATTTTTTCAATATATTAATCTAGATTATCCTAAGAAAAAATTAATACAAGAAAGAAAAAAATAAGAAAAAAAAAGTAAAAAGACTTGATATATGCTGAGAGTAATAAAAGAATATAAGAAAAAGAAAGAAAATTGACATATTAGATATAAGATAGAAATTATAGTCAAATAACTAATTATTATTTAACTTAGATAAAGATGCTAGAATTATATATTTGAATTTCAATTAGAAATTTTCTCAAATTAATATATAAGAAAATGAATAATAAAGATAAAAAAAGATATTTCAAATTAATAAAAGTAATTAGTTAGAATAAAAAAAAAAGTAAAGATAAGTTAATAATTATTTAAATAATATTAGAGATATATATCAAATACTCAAATCAAAATTAGTTTGCTAATCAATCAAATAAGAAATGAAATAAATTTCAAAATAAATAAATTTCTAGCTAAAAAAAAGATAATTAAAAATATATATACAGTGGCAATCAAAAATAATACAACGCTTAAATTTTTTACTAATTATAATTAATAAAAAATTTAAGCGTTGCATTATTTTTGATTGCCACTGTATATTTATATATTATAATTAAAAAAATAATATGTAAAATTTTATATGACAAGAAAAAAAAATATTTATGAAATAATATGATTTTGTAACTAAATAATTAGTATAAATATTATAAATAATATTTTAATAAGAAAGAAATATAAGTGAAAATATGAAATAAGAATAAAAATATATAAATAATAATAAAAAAATTGTATAATATATAGATAAAGAAGTTAAAGATAAAGATATATATATAAAAATTTTATAATAAATAAGAAAAATAATAAAATATAAAAAGAAAATAAATTTTAAAAAATATAATAAATGAAGCTAAAGATAAAAATTTTAAGCTTAACTAAATAAGAATAATAATTTAATTATTAACTTTTGATACTAACTATAAAATAATATAATAATAGTTAATAGTGAAAAAAAGAAAGTAATAAAATAAAAAGAAATAATATAAAATAAAATAAATATTTCAGACTTAATTAGATAAGAATAATAATCTAATTATTAATATATATATTTATTATAAATTAAGATAGAAAAAGTAAATTTATAAATTTCAGATTATAAATATAAATAAAATATAAGAAGAGAAAATATATATAAAAAAAATTAAATATGTAAAGTTATAAAGTTATAGTAAGTAAATATTAAATAAGAATAAAGTAATTTTCTAAATTACTTAGTTTTAATATATAACTTATTTTATAATAAATAAAAATTATATTATATAAAAATTCTTTAAAATAAAGTATTTAATAAATTTTTATAAGATATAAAAAGAAGAGATATATTAAGAATTTTTATTATAATTATTATTATTATTAT